AAAATAGATGCGCCTTTGTCTGCGCGTATGTTATAATCATTTCTAGATAACTTCGTCCTCGTCTTCGGATCTCCCACTTCTTTACTTCCGTTTCTCGTCGATAAATCATCAGACCAAACTCTGTTCAGACAAAAACGGGTGACAAGATCAATCGCCTGACAAGATCTTGATAATGTCGGGAAGGACAGATGAAGAATCTGCGCAAGGGGTGGATCAAGAATCAGAGAGATGCTTGCCGTCCAAGCTACTGTCGTCGAAGGAGATCTCGAGGGCTAATTCTTCGTCGAGGGTTTATTTCTACGGCGGAGCCACCGTGCCGTTTGTGTGGGAGACATGTCCAGGTACTCCAAAACATACCCTTTTCTCCGATTCCTCTCATCTTCCTCCTCCGTCGCTTACGCCTCCGCCGTCCTACTTCTCCCCCGGTCACTTGTCCTCCACGCAAAAGGGACGCAACAAGATCGCGAAAGCGAAACAGACCCACTTCCTAGAGACTGTGTTTCACCTTAGGAAGAGCAATACCGTCAAGGGTCATGTCTCTCGACCCTCGTTTTCTTGGTTGTCCACGTCTTCATCCATGTCGTCGTCGTCTTCTTCGTTTTCTTCCTCCTCCTCATCGGTGTCTTTTCCGAAGAAATTGGGGTTCCACAGGAAGCGGTTTTCTCTGTCTTGCTCGAGATCGCCGCTTCCTTACGTTAAGGATGACGGCGAAGAATTGACAGTTGAAGAGGAGGAAGAGCTTCGGTCGTCGCCAGCCTCGACTCTGCGTTTCGGATCTGAAGTACGGAAAAGAGGGTTTAGTTCTTCAATGGAGAGTTTGAAGAGGGTCCTGTTTCACGTTCGCATCCATGGATCCACGAGTCTAAGATCTCACTAGCGATAGAATCGCTTGATCTTCGATTCCCGTGTTTAAATTTTCGTGAGTTCCTCTTCGTTTTTTGCTATGGAAAACGATCTTTGATTTGTGTGACGGGAAGATTTGAAGAACGAGTGTCTCGTTTCATGTTTTGCCTTGATAAAAATAAAATTCTGTACGGTTTTTGATATATTATTAATTCGTATTTGTTTTCGATAAAATCAACCCTCAAACAACAAGAACAGATCATGTGAACAGTAACAACTTTCGTTGACTTAGAACCATGTATTGTAAACTAGCTCAATTGCTTTCGAATATTATATAGTTATTAATTTCATAAATTCATTATTGTGAAAGTTTTTTATATATAATTTGTACTACTGTATAATAGCTGTCTTTTTTTAAATTTAAATAACTCATTAAAAAAAATATGATGGTTGAGCTGATTGGTGACTGATCGATTAATTCTTAATACGTTAATCTAAGAAGCATAAGAAAGATCCGACGACAAGAAAATGTCGGCAGATGAACTGACCACGTGTCAGCATTTATATCCAACTTTATAACTGTTTCTTTAATTCACATTAATTAAAATGATTCATAGTATTTTAAATTTTGGTTTGAAATAACCCATACGCTGACACGTATTAAACCGTCACGATGAAATAATTGTCAAATGAAATCGTAGATAAAATTCGCAATATCTTATTTTCAAAAGGACAACTTCTAAATAAACACATTATTTTGCAAAACAAATCTTAAAAATACAAAAATTTATTTTTATCAAAAACAAAAATACACCAATTTCCTAAATTTCTACACTCCCATAACATTTTCATACGTATAAAAGTTTTACATAAAAAGGTTGGACTTTTTTTTATAATTAGAAAGTTCATCGTATTTTTGATCCAACCACATCTCCTAAAGAATCAGAGAAATCCATATAAATGTTCATCCGTGAGGATTCGAAACCATATTGAAAATGAATTTTGTTCCCTTACTTATCGGTTGAGCGATTTGGTAAAATTGATTTCTTTTGTAGCCTTCTAGTTTAGTTGCCCTAAATTTTGTTTAAATCGTCACTTTTTGTTTTTTGAAACATCAAACGACGTGGAGCTAGCAATATTGATGGGCCCATGAAACCATAACTTTATATCTGTGTTAGTAATATTATGTGTGACTTTACATGCAATAATTTTATGTTTCCTTAATTAAATACCAGTTTGTTTGCATCTGAACAATGTGTATAACAATGTTTAGTACAAAACAGTGAATAGGAAGCGTCGTATTAGTGTTATATATATATATATGAGAGAACAGAACTTGGCTAAAATCACAAGTTGCTGCAAATGGATGGCTAATAATAGAACGCAAGATGCTTAGACTGTTATAACAAAGCAACATATTATTAAAATTTAGCCGCAAATAATGTATCGGCTTGGACGGTCCTAATCCATCTACTTCAAGTATAAAAGACATAAGGCAAGCAAATAATCATCTCAACATCTTTTTATCTTCTTATCATACGAAACAAAACTTCGAGACAAGAAATGGGTGTCGAATCGCATTACATCGCGGCATTCTGTGTTTTGGTAACTCTTTTGGTTGCACCCTTTGTTCAATCAGCAGATTCAGTAGCTTTTAGCATTACAAAATATGGTTTGATCGGGACCGAGGACGAAGATATCACTAAGGTACATATACATATACATAATATTATTCTCGACATTGAATCTTTATACCAATCATGTTTTTTGATCCGGGTTTTCTTGGAAGAAGTTGTATATATAAAGGCAATATATAAATATGTATTACATTTCATTTCATTGGATCTAAATTGGAAAATAGCTTATATTGGACTGTATATACGTGTTTTTGGACATGGTGAGTTTAGGCTTTCTCAATTGCATGGAAAGCTGCATGTTCATCACCTAGTCTAAGCCAATTGGTTATACCAAATGGGTCGTACATATTGAGACAAGTTCGGTTCGAAGGTCCATGCAAAGCTCCATTGGAGTTACAGGTTCATGGAATCATCAAAGCACCTGAAGATCCATCGGATTTCATAGAAAAAGCTGGCTGGATCACTTTCCAACGCATTGACCATTTCACTTTGGTTGGAAATGGAACCTTTGATGGTCAAGGTTCCACTGCTTGGTCTCATAATGATTGCCACAAGACTGGAGAATGCAATAAGCTTCCTATTGTGAGTTTTGATCTTCTTTCCTTAAACCCTAGTTATTATAATATTAACATTCGTCTTATTACTTATAAAATAAGTTACATCAATATATAGGTTCGACTTTTTCTCTGATAATTGAGTATCATGGACCAAATCTTAGTCAAGATTCGATTTTCGGAATTTGATGTCACAGTGTGAATACCCTATTGCAAATGTGGATCATCTATGCTCTAAACTCGATTCAACTATAATATGTTGAATTCAATGGAGATCCAATTCTTCTTCAGAAATTGATAGTTTTACAATGGCGATATATCGGTTTTCTAACAAAGAGATTTATTTTGGCAGAACATAAGGTTCAACTTCATCACCAACGGATTGGTACAAGACATAACATCTCTGAACAGCAAACTCTTCCACATCAATGTTCTTGGATGCACCAACTTAACATTCGATAGAGTAAAAATAAAAGCCCCGGAAGATAGCCCTAACACCGACGGAATCCATATTGGACGGTCCAAAAACATAAACATTATAGACTCGGAAATGTCCACAGGCGATGATTGCATCTCTATGGGACGTGGAAGCGAGAATATCACAATAGAACGAGTAAAATGCGGGCCTGGTCATGGGATTAGTGTTGGAAGCCTCGGGAGATACACGAAAGAAGAGCCTGTTTCCGGTATCATTGTCAGAAATTGTACCTTCTTCAACACGGATAACGGCGTGAGAGTTAAAACATGGCTGAGTTCCGAAAAAGCAATAGCCACTGGTTTACATTTCCATGACATTACAGTGGTTAACGTGAGCAATCCTATTGTGATTGATCAAGAATATTGCCCTTACGACCACTGTAAAGCCAAGGTGAGATTACAACTATACATTTTTCATCATCATCATCAAAATCTAAAATCCTAACAAGAAAAATGATTATTTTTTTCTTAAACAGAAACCTTCGCAAGTGAAGTTAAGCAATATCAGCTTCAAAAACATACATGGGACGTCATCGACAAAAATGGCGATGAAACTGGCTTGTAGCAGTGGAGTTCCATGCGAAAACGTCGAGATTTCGAACATTGATATTAAGTACATTGGATCTGATGGAGTTTCGATGTCGGATTGTACAAATGTCAGTCCCAAGACCTTTGGAAAACAGTACCCCTCTGCTTGTGTTGCCGCCACCAATTCCTCTGCTTGATCTTTACTTTTTTGTTTACATCAAACATATGCTTACATATGTATATTATGTTGTTATTATCATATAACAGTTTCTGATTATAAATGTTGTCTTGTCGAAAAATTTATATAACACTATATCATCGCCATATCGCAAAAATACCACGTCACTAATTAAAAAAAATAAAAAATAAAAAATTGAACTTAAAAACATAAATAATAAAAAAGAAAAATTTTAAAATCAAATAAATAATATTTCTATGTATTTACACATATATACATATGATTTTAACAGCAAATTAAAAAAAATGTGTATTTTTTAATAATTTTATAATTTGCATATTAATTAAGTTGATAAAAAATTGGCGTAGGATTCTTCCTATTTAAAGTCACGAATTCAGAGAAACTAGGAGTTGAAGTTATGATTCCATTTATATTGCTAAGGTGGTCATTGCAATTTCAAAATTTACAGTTTAACTTTAAACTTTTGTCATTAGTTGAATTTACAGTGATTTTAAATTTCTTAAAAGTCAATACTTTAGATGTATAGTTTTCTAAAATTTTAATAACTAAAAAAACGTAACGATGAATAAAAACGTTTGCCATAGAGATCATGATACAAAATAGAATCACAATTAACTCATTGGCTATAAATAAAAAAATAGATCAAATTTAAATTATCATGAGACATCGATCACATCATCATATCTTACAAGAGAAACAACTTTCATTCCCTTGATTTCAATTTCCCTTTCCTCCCTCTGAACACTTCAACTGAACACTTCCACCATTCATGGACTCCTTAGTATGATGATCACTCCTATAGACATACTTACAAGCAGCCCACAAGAACAGCCCCATATTCACCGTCGAAATCGCTATCAGAAACCCATAGTAATAATCCAGCCTCGAGTCATTCAAGTTGCGACCAATCCAGCTCTTTCCATTCCCTCTCCCCGTGATGCTATTGACCACTGTCACCAAGAAACTGTTCAAGAAGTTCCCTAACCCGACACCGCTCGTGAAAAACGTCGTCCCGAGGCTTTGCATATCTTCGGGAGACTGATCGTAGAAGAACTCTAGTAGCCCTATGGCATGGAACACATCCGAAACGCCGAGAAGAGAGTACTGAGGGAGTAACCAGAAGACGCTCATGGGGATTATCTCCTTGGGGCTTGTGATGTGGAGCTCTCTTATCATACGCATTCTCTTGACCTCCACGGCCCAAGCAACAGCAATGGCGATGATCTGGATGACGAATCCGATCCCTAGGCGCCTTACAAGCAGCCCACAAGAACAGCCCCATATTCACCGTCGAAATCGCTATCAGAAACCCATAGTAATAATCCAGCCTCGAGTCATTCAAGTTGCGACCAATCCAGCTCTTTCCATTCCCTCTCCCCGTGATGCTATTGACCACTGTCACCAAGAAACTGTTCAAGAAGTTCCCTAACCCGACACCGCTCGTGAAAAACGTCGTCCCGAGGCTTTGCATATCTTCGGGAGACTGATCGTAGAAGAACTCTAGTAGCCCTATGGCATGGAACACATCCGAAACGCCGAGAAGAGAGTACTGAGGGAGTAACCAGAAGACGCTCATGGGGATTATCTCCTTGGGGCTTGTGATGTGGAGCTCTCTTATCATACGCATTCTCTTGACCTCCACGGCCCAAGCAACAGCAATGGCGATGATCTGGATGACGAATCCGATCCCTAGGCGCTGGAGGAGAGTGATCCCTCTAGGGTTTCCGGTTTTCTTGCGCATCAAGGGAACGAAGTACTTGTCGTAGATTGGCACCGAAATGAGCATCGAGATCGTGACGAAACTGCCGAGCGAGGCAGACGGGAGCTGGAACTCAGACCCGATCTTCCGGTCGAGAGTGGTTCCTTGTTTGACGAAGAGAGTGTTGATTTGTGCCCATAACATGCTTGGGATCAATGTCACAAGCCATATCAAGATTAGCCCTAAGATACGTTTGGCCACTTCCACTTGTGTCGCCGTACAAGGTAGATCTCTTGAATCCGTTTTAATCGCTGCCTTGTCCAAGAACCTGCGACATATAATTCATTAGGTGGATATATGATTTAATTCTAAATATTAATCCATGTATTGAATTCTATATACGTTCCCTAAAAAGAATAGTATGAAATTTTATTAAACTTGGATCCAAGCCCATTTATCAATAAATAAAATGTGAAAAGGGAAAGTTAAGCAGAATAACGGAAGACCATAATCATCAAATCATATTGTTGAGTGGGAACCATGTGCCATTCCCGTTATTTCTAATCAGACCATTAAAAAACAATTCTAATTTCTAATAAGTGTCGATGTTATAGAAAGACCAATGGGCCGCCAACCCTATTTTCATTTTTTATTGTCTAAAGGAATCAACTTGTAATATTCCTCTTTTTCTTTTTCTTTTTTTAAAAAGTTCAATGTAAAGGGTAAACTTTTATTTTAGATAATGATACAAGAAAGTGATTATATTATTTGATTAGAATCACGATTTGAAAGAAAGTTAACTTTAATTATACGATTAAAGGAGGACAACTTTATGTTTGGTACTAGTTTATATTATAAGGTGTATATAATGGATCCAAGTTTAAACCCTTTGTTTGCAATTTGTTTCTTAAATTAAGATGGTCGGTGAAGATGAAAAAATAATAAAAAAGAATTAATGAAATAATCAAATGCTAATGAATACTGACCTGAAGATTGGAGTGTGATGGACTTGTTTCTTGCCGCTGCTAATGTAATATTGTACGTCAAGTTCATGAAGCTCCAAAGGGTCATGGGGACATTGAAGCTTCCGGTTCCTGAAAGCTGCAATGGGGACTCGGCCCAAATCCTTAGCAAAGTTCCCAGTCTTTAGGACCTTGTGTCGGTAAAATGGTGTTCCGATATAGAACACGATTAGGGACAAGGTTAGTCCAATGGTCGGGATACCGTACCCTAAGCCCCAACCCAAATTTTCTTGAATGTAAACAAGTCCCACAGTAGCGAAGAGTGCTCCAAGAAAGGCAGTGAACATCCACCAATTAAAGAACGAGATCTTGAGCTCCTTCTCTCGAGGATTGGAATCGTCGAATTGGTCCGCCCCGAACGTTGATATGGTCGGCTTTGTTCCACCTGCTCCGAGGGCTGTGATGTAGAGAGACAAGTAGAAGAACGTGATCTGAAATGATGAAGCCTTGTTGCATACACCATTTTCGCACGTGGGACTTAGTGATTTCAGCGAAACCGCCATAGTTAACAAGACCATCCCCTGTAGATACGGTATCGTCATTGTTAATTCATTCATATCATGTCATATAAAAGACGTCACGGTAGTAAAAGGAATTCAAAAGAGACACTTTGACCCTCGTATCTTTTGAACCGACAAATCGGAAATGTCAAAAGTCATTATGATTGAGTGCAGATCATAAATGTCACATTAGTTTTGAATCTTCGATAAGATACGTTCGGATTCCTCTTGACCACTATTGTCCATGAAGCACAAATAACGTTAGATGAAAGAGGAACAGTGGGGCCAAAGCATGAAGATTCCAATCCCGTCAAGGGTGTTGGTGAAGGTACATTTATGGTTTTGATTTCATTTAGGACGTGGATACATGCATACGATTATATATATATATATATATATTTACACACACATGTGCATACAGTAATTCAGTATTAAGTGACCACAATGGGTCCAAATTATTAAGCGTCGTCCGCAAATTAGTGGGTGGGATTTGGACAAGTCATCACGTATTTACGCTTGTAGAAATGGCCACACGAATTTAGTGTTTGACTCATGAATGCGATTGTTTTATAATTTATTATTACAATCTAACCCGAAATTACCGAGAAGGAAAAAAACTACGAAATATTTTTTACATGCCACATCAGTCCGTATCGATTGTCAATGGGTCCAATGATTAAGTCCATATCTTGAACTGCCACATGTTTTAATATTGTTTAGCTTGCTTACAACAAATTCATAATTGTTAACTGATATAAAACTTCAGACTTTGATTGAGTAATTCGGATATTTTGTTTAATCTTTTCTCTAAATTTTAAACAAATAAAAAAGCATAATCAAATTTACAAAAACACAAACAAACAAAAAAAGTGGTAGAAAAAGAGATGATGTAAAAGATTAAAATTGGGAGGGGGGGAATAATAATTACCACGACGTAGACGACGGAGAAAATGGTGAAGGTCCAAAACCGACCCAAGTATGAATCGGCCAACAAAGCTCCGAGAATCGGAGTTAACCAGACGGCTCCGGTCCAATTATTCACATTCCTAACCGATGAGATCGTGTCTTCGTGCAGTCTTGTCGTCAAGTAGGTCACCAAATTCGCCGCTATTCCATAAAACGCCATCCTCTCGAATGTTTCGTATCCTATACGCATACACACACAAGAAAAGCCATTGAGCTACTGCTCTAAGCTTTTAATATGCATATGGAAAGCAACCCACGTAATAATAATATGCAAACAATTTCTTGGAGCCATTCATCACGATTAATCATGAATAAAAAAGGGTCCAATTCTATTAGCTATATATGTTGTTTTGGGACAATTGTTTATGTATGATATAAACAAATTTAGGGTTTGATAATGATGTAAAAAGGAAGAGGAATCAATAGACTTGTGTAGTGATAAACTATATATATAAGGTTCATATGGTTTGCTTTTCATCGGACGAAAACGCTTTATTGGGAAAGAGGAATGACCGAGGAGGAAAGAGCAAGCCCCCCATCGGCCGGTTTTCGAAGCGATGACGGGCCGGCCACGGATGTCGACGGTTCCATCTTGTGTGTAATCATCCTTTGAAACCTCCATTGTCTCTCCTCTTCTTTCTCCTTGCTTGTTTTATTTCAATATTGATAGGAGTGGGGAGAAATATGGGAATGGTTTAAGGCTGAAAAGAGTTCTCACACATTAGCTACGGAGTCTCAAACATTAGCTACGGAGTCTCAAACATTAGTTATGGAGTCTAAAATATATTTGAAATTTGTTTTTTCCTCGTAATTTAATTAATTATCACGGAACTAAAATAGGGTAATATGAATCAAGTAATCTATTAATAACAACACTCTACCTGTAGAAATAAAATTAGATGTTCCAAATTTAGATTATGATATATTTGTACCTTTAAAAAAAAACTGATTTTATTTTGATCAGATATAATGATAAAAACAAACAATAAGCACAAAAATATTTTATATTATTTCAAAATATTAAAAAACTTTAAAACTCTGTTAGATTCATTTTATTTTTTTTGAAAAATATTTGAAAATAGCCAGACTACACTGAAATGAGAAAATAAAAGTGGTAATCATAAGTTTAATGATTATCTATTTTATTTTTAAAAGAGATGATAATAAAAAATATTTTCCAAACTTTTTAAAAATTGTAATCTAGAATAAATATAAAAATAATGATTTAGAGTACTATATGATTACATAAATGTATTGTTTTAAATTTAAATATATTAAAACTATCGTTAGCTAAAAATATTAAATAACTATATAAAATATTTATATATTCATTTTTTTAAATAAAATTGGTGATTTTAAAACATTTTTCCACAAAGTACGAATAAAATAGTTAGATTAACTAATAATTAATAAAATAAATCATTTACAAAACAGTAAAATACTCTAAAGCTAACAAAATAATAAAATCAAACACTCTAAAATACGACAAAGATTATTTCTATATTTTTTTAAATGCTAAAAAATTCAAAGTATATAAAAATTATTTTTTATAATTAATTATAGGAATAAATCCAAAAAAACCTTCAAATTTTTCTAGTTACAAAAAAAAACTTCTACTTAAAATTCATCATGAAAAATCAGCAACTATTAATTTTGAGCGAAAAACCTCATTAACTATATAAATTATTTAAAAGCAATATTTTACTTTAAATTTATAATAAAAATCATCAATTATTAAAATATAAAAAATATATATTAATATTTAAAAGATTGTAAATTGAATATATTTTATTGGTTGTAAATATTATATTAAAAATTATATTATATATTATTATTTTAGAGATTGTAAATTATCAATTTAAATTTTTTCATAAATTTATATAATAATTTTAATAAAAAATCATCAACTATTTAAAAATCTAAAACAATATTCTATTTAAAATTTAGAAATCTATAAAAAATAAAATATGTTCAATTTACAAAATTTCAAATATTAATATATAATAAAATTTTAAATATAATATTTACAACCAATAAAATATACTGAATTTTAAATATAACATTTGTATACAAATTTTATTATATAAAGATTGATGTTTATAAATAGTTATATAAAATAAATGTATATAATAATTTTAATAAAAAATCATCAACTATTTAAAAATCTAAAACAATATTCTATTTAAAATTTAGAAATCTATAAAAAATAAAATATGTTCAATTTACAAAATTTCAAATATTAATATATAATAAAATTTTAAATATAATATTTACAACCAATAAAATATACTGAATTTTAAATATAACATTTGTATACAAATTTTATTATATAAAGATTGATGTTTATAAATAGTTATATAAAATTTTAAATATTAAAATATAATAAAAATAATATGTTTTTATTATGATTTTTAGAATTATATAATTTATATATATTTTTATTCAAATTTTATAGATTTTTATAATAAATTTAAACCAAAATATTTTTTTGAGTAACATAGATAGATGATTAGTTTTTTTATTAAAATTAATAATTGATTTTTTAAAAAAAAATTAAAAGTGAAATATTGTTTTAAATAATTTGTATAGTTAATAGTTTTTTTTTTCTCAAAATTAATAGTTGATAGTTTTTTATGATGAATTTTAAGTAGAAGGTTTTTTTTTTGTGTAAGCAGAAAATTTGAAGGTTTTTTTTGGCTTTGTCCCTTAATTATATTATGAAGAAAAATTACATAATTAAATCTATACTTAATTTTTTATTATCATAATTTAGTTAATTATGGTAGAGTTCGTAATGTCGTATGGTTCTAATATCTATATTTAGATAATGAAAGTTTTGCCACAATGATGATACGTACCTTCTAATTCCCAAGTCGCTTTGCTCTCTTCCACCCGCCGCCGCAGGCTCCGGCGGCTCCTCTTCCGGTCCCGTCTTCTTCAATTTTTTCCTCAACCATTCACTCTGGGTCCATGGAGTACGGTGATATTGCAAGTGAGAATTCCCAAAGAATAAAAACATTACATTAATTATAATTGGATGATATTGATCTTGTTTGTTTGTTAATTATTAAGAGATATGGAGAAAATTTGAGAGATAGTTTGAAGGTGGAGAAAGGAATAGTCGGGATTGAAGGAAGAGTGAGAGATGAAATGAAATTAGGGATTTTTAAATTTATCGGTATAATACAATGATTTATGTAAACCGGTTAAATCATATTCGGTTTACTGACTTTGTAATTTTTTTATATGACATCTACGTGTCATTGATGTGTGTGGCCAAATTTCGCCACCTGGGATTTCTAAATGGCAAAAAAAATTTATATATTATTTTTAAAAATTTGAGGATTTCTCTAAATTAAGTAAGAACAACATATCTTATTTAATCAATAAAATCAAATATAAATATTACTAATATTCTCAAATCTTCTCCATATCTTTTAATATCAATATTAATAATATATACATACACATATATAAATGCTTACACATACATACATATGTATATATATACATTATGTGTGTTTGTATGGATTTTTGTACATATGTATATGTATATATATTGTAAAGTTTTATTTTTAATTATTTATTAGTATATTTATAATAAATTTTTAAAATTTTATTTTTAATATTTTAATTATTAAATTATTTTTGACAATGTTGATGTAAATTTATGACACCAGATGAGGGTGTGATTATACTTTTGTAAAATTATTAAAGTGTTAGGTTTGTGTAGAGATTATGATTATGATTAATAAAATAACAAAAAATGTGGCCGTAGAGACAATGATTAATAAAATAAAGTCAGAAAAATCTATATAGTGTCTAAAAATAAAGAAAAAAAAAGACAAACTTTTATTTATCAGGAGACATCACGACATCATTTCTTACAGGAGAAACAACCTAAGACCATTCCCTTAATTTCATATATTTTTTTCAAAACCCAAATTAGATACTAAGGGAAGAAGTCTCCAAGGCTTTGCCCTCCATCTGAACACTTCCCCCGTTCATGAACTCCTTAGTATGATCATCATTCTTATAGACATACTTACAAGCAGCCCACAAGAACAGCCCCAAATTCACCGTCGAAATCACCATTAGAAACCCGTAGTAATAATCCAGCCTCGAGTCATTCAAGTTGTCACCGATCCAACTCTTTCCGTTCCCTCTCCCTGTGATCTTGTCGACCACTGTCACCAAGAAACTGTTCAAGAAGTTCCCTAACCCGATACCGCTCGTGAAAAACGTCGTCCCGAGGCTTTGCATATCTTCCGGAGATTGATCGTAGAAGAATTCAAGTAACCCTATCGCGTTGAAGACATCCGCAACGCCGAGAAGAGAGTACTGAGGGAGCAGCCAGAAGATGCTCATAGGGATTATCTCCTTAGGGCTCGTGATGTGGAACTCTCTTATCATACGCATTCTCTTGACCTCCACAGCCGAAGCAACGGCAATGGCGATGATCTGGATGACGAATCCGATCCCTAGGCGCTGGAGGAGAGTGATCCCTCTAGGGTTTCCGGTTTTCTTGCGCATCAAGGGAACGAAGTACTGGTCGTACATCGGTACGGAAAGGAGCATGGAGAGCGTAACAAAACTTCCGAGCGAGGCCGCGGGGATCTGAAACCCTGACCCGATCTTCCGGTCGAGAGTGGTCCCTTGTTTGACGAAGAGAGTGTTGATTTGTGCCCATAACGTGCTTGGGATCAATGTCACAAGCCATATCAAGATTAGCCCTAAGATACGCTTGGCCACTTCCACTTGTGTCACCGTACAAGGTAGGTCTCTTGAATCTGTTTTGATGGCTGCCTTGTCCAAGAACCTGCGACATATAATTCATTTGGTGGATATATGATTTAATTGTCAATATTAATGTACGCATTGAATTCTACGTTCCATATTTGTGTGTGTTAGATCAAAAAGGAAGATATATGTAAAATCTAGTTGGAAATATAAGCTAGAAAACGAGAAAATTCTCTAAAAAAATTAGTATGGAAAATTACCAAAATTGGATCCAAACCCATTTATAAACAAAGAAAATCAAATCATGTGAAAGGAGAGAGTTTAGCATAATAATGGAAGACCGTAATCATTAACGTCACGGAAACCGTTATCTTTCTTAATCTTTTTGTAATATTATATCGCACATGTTGCTGAGTGGGGAAACGTGTCATTCCCATTATTTCTAATCAGACCATCAAAAAAATAATAATTTCATGGTGCGGCGGGCGAATTGGGTTCAAAAGGTGAACAATTCTGATTTCTAACGAAGTGTCGATGTTATAAAGAGATGTCAAATGTAAAGATGACGTGTCCTTATACTCATGGTAATCATAAAACCACGCCTGCCTTAGACGAATACGACTTCTCGATTCACGAGTAATGTATGATTCTAGAAAACATAAAATCTGCTGTTTTTTTTTTGTGGGTATGGACATATATACAAAATCAAGATGATATTTTTCAATTTCTTTTGATAATAATAATAGTAATCATTACACTCGACGATTTCATTCTACATTTTTTAAGTAATTTTTTAAAATAATTTCTAGTTTTTCTCTTAATTAAAACTATTGCAAATCTAATATTTTAATAACAATGTAGTTTTTATCATTAAACCATATATAAGATTTTTTTATATTTTTTTAAAAAAGTGTGAAAAATTCTAGAATGACAATTATAGGGAGTACTATTATTTATGTTTTGGGTGACCAGTTTGGTACAGTTGATAAAGTCGGTGGCTTTTGCAATGTGATACATGCGACACGAGTTTTAGTGGGGAATACATTGGGGAAGACTTTGGTGGAGTGGCATCGGGAATTTGGGACCATCCATGGATATGTGATATGATGGTGCATGTACTCTTTGAACATAAATTAGAAAAAAATAAAAAGAAAATAAAATAAACGGAAAAAAAAGAGGATTCATCAAACGATATGTTGCCTCTGTTTCAGGACAGAGATCTTTAAAAAAAAATGTCACGTGTATGTATAAATATACACACACATCGTAAAACACATACGTATGGACACAAAGGTTGTAGTGCTCTTAGATTCTGGAGGGCCAACCCTATCTTCAGACAAAACCAACTTTTTTTTTCCTATATAGGATCTTAAGTGATGGTTCAATGGGCCGCCCACGCTATTTTCATTTCTTGTAAAAAAGAATCAACTTGTTAATTGTTATATTCCTCTCTTTTTTTAGAAAAAAAATATATATCTAAAGGGTAAACTTTTATTTAAGATAGCGATCATACAAGAAAGTGATTATATTATTTGATTAGAATCACGATTTGAAAGAAAGATAACTTTAATTATACGATTAAAGGAAGACAACTTTATGATTTGTTATATATAGTTTATAAAGTGTGTATAATAATGGGTCCAACTAATTATCACCCTTTTTTTGATAGTAGTCATACCATCTAGTGGGTAATATTTCGATTTGTTTTGTCACACGGTTTCCTAAATAAGATGGTCGGTGTGAAGATGAAAATAATAATGAAAAGAATTAATGAAACAATCAAATGGTAATGAATACCGACCTGAAGATTGGAGTGTGATGGACTTGCTGTTTGCCACTAATGTAATATTGCACGTCTACTTCATGGAGCTCCAAAGGGTCATCGGGGCATGAAAGCTTCCGGTTCCTGAAAGCTGAAATAGGGACTCGGACCAAATCCTTAGCCAAGTTCCCGGTCTTTAGGACCTTGTGTCGGTAAAATGGTGTTCCGAGATAGAACACGAATAGGGACAATAATAGTCCAACGGTCGGGATGCCGTACCCTAAGCCCCAACCCAAGTTTTCTTGAATGTAGACAAGTCCCAAAGTAGCGAACAGTGCTCCAAGAAATGCGCTGAACATCCACCAGTTAAAGAACGAGACCTTAAGCTTCTTCTCTCGAGGATTGAAATCGTCGAATTGGTCGGCCCCGAACGTTGATATGTTCGGCTTTGTTCCACCTGCTCCAATGGCTATGATGTAGAGAGACAAGTAGAAGAACGTGATCTGCAAGGATGAAGCCTTGTTGCATACACCATTTTCGCACGTGGGTCTTAGCGACTTCAGTGAAACCGCCATGGTCAACAAGATCATCCCCTACAGATGCGATATCGTTATTGTCCATATCATATCATGTCATAGAAAAGAGTTAATAGTAATAACCGGAATATAAAAGACACTTTTGACCCTCATATCGTTTGATCACATCCAAAATTGACTAGCATATTGCCTTTTGAACCGACAAATCGGAAATGTCAAAAGTCATTATGATTGAGTACAGATCATAAATGTCACATTAGTTTCGATAAGATACGTTCGGATCCCTCCTGACCACTATCGTTCATGAAGCACCAATAACGTTAGAGGTAAGAGGAATCGTGGGGCCAAAGCATGAAGATTCCAATTCCATCACATACACATGTGGAGTGTATGTATATATATATATATAATCGTATGTATCCATGTCCGAAATGTAATCATAAAAACTTACCTAAACCAACACCAATAGTAATCCATCATTAGATTAACACAATGGGTCCAAAATCTTAAGCCAAGCAAGCAAAATCGTGGGTGTGATTTGGACGCGTCATCATTCACGTATGCACACTTGTAGTGGCCGCACGAATTTAGTGTTTGACTCATGAATGTGATTTTTTTTATTTGTTATTACAATTTAAATCGAAAATACAAAAAAAAAAAAAGAATCCAAACGAATGAATCCCAACATTAGTATGCACACCAAAACATCTTTGCATTGTATTTTACAATGCCATATCAGTCCTATCAATTGTCATGGGTTCCAATGACGATGAGTCCATATCCTAGACTATCACATATTTTTAACATTTTTTTAACGTCAAATTCTTAATTTTTAAACGATTTAAAAATCCAAAATCAGATTGAGAAATTCGTATATTTTGTTTAGTCTTTTATTTATATATATATATATATAAATA